ACCAAAAGGCCTCTCAAACGTAGCGGAGCACGTCCGACCCAACAGCGGTTTCTGTTGAGATGTTATTGAACTTCACACCGTCTTGAAGCTCCCTTGGGCCCTCCCTGAAGATCCTTGCGAGCCTCCACGGCGCTACCGGTGGCTTTCCCCGAGGGCCTCCCGAGCCCTTCCCCTGGCGCTCCTGAGACGCCTCAGATGGGCTTCGACTTGGACGCACATCCCCGAATAATGGAGGGGGCGAACGAGCCGTGCGCCGGGGCCAAGCTGCTGGAGCGCTGCAAGAGCTCGGACACGAAGGCGCGGTCTCGCTGCCGCCGCCCTGGCCGCCGCCGTGCTTATAGGTTTGCGGCAAAGTCTCCCCCCGAGCCAGCCCCTGGACGGTCCCGAGCGGGCTCCCGCACGGCCTCGGCACCCCTACAGCCGACCGCACGAGCCCCAACAGTCCCCCAGGGCCCCGTGAGGGCCCCAGACCGAGGCCCACAGAGCCTCACGAGCGTTCCAGGGCAGCCCCGCAGAGCTCCATACCAACGCCAACACGGACGTCAAAGGTGTCCGGCCGCGCCCGCGGCCCCCGATGGGGCCTCGCCGAGACTGCCCTGCGGCGTCTGCGGCCCCCGATGGGGCCCCGCGGAGACTCCACGAGCGCCCCAGGACAGCCCCGCCGAGCCTCTGGACAAAACCATCAAGCATGCCAAATGTGTCCGGCCGCGCCCGCGGCCCCCGATGGACCAGGCCCCACAATTCATTCCGACCCGCCCCAGACCCGTGCAAGAACCTTCGGATCGTGGGCCCTTGTCCAGCCCTGGCTCAGGAAGCCCTCAGACCAGCACCCTTGCTGCCCTTGTTGGCCCGCCTTTTCGGGCCACACTAGGAGCCTTTGTTCGGGCTCTTGTAAGGCTGGCGCCCAAAAGCCACAAGAGGCCTTCAAGACGCTCCAGACCGGCTCGCACGAGGTCCCAACATGCCCCCGACACGGCCCCAGGGAAGCCCGAGTTGTTCAACTTCGACGAGCTGTTCACCCACGGTGTGCGACCCCCCAGGCTCAGCACACCATAGATGTAATCCACGGTTTCGCGCTAATCTCTACTACATTGCAGGGCCCAGTGCGTGCCAGAAGGGCGCAGGCCCCAATGCACCGAAACCGCCCCGGGCTGGCCCCGGGCCGCCCAGGCAGGCTCCAGGACATGTCGAGAGGGCCCCCAGAAGCCCCCAAGACGGCCCCGGAGAGCCCCGACACGCTTAAAGACGGGCCCAAGACGCCCGAGAGTCGCCCCAGACGGCCTAAGAGGCGTCCAAGACGCCCGAAGAGGCCTCCCAAGAGGCCTCCCAAGAGGGCCCCGAGCGACAGAAATCGCTGATTTCTATTGTGTTTTTCGATGTTTTCGGCCTCCTCGCCTCTTCGGCTTCCCGACGCTCCAAGACGGCCCAAGAAGTCTTCCAGACCGCTCCAAGACGGCCGAAGAGGACCCCAAGAGAGCCCCAAGACGGGCCAGGAGGGCCCCAAGACGGTCCCGAGACGCCCCAGGACGGCCCCAGGACGGCCCAAGAGGCGCCCCAGACGGCCCAAGAGGCACCCAAGACGGCCCCAGGAGCGGCCCAAGACGGCCCAAGACAGCCCAAGAGGCGCCGAGGCGGGCCTCAGACGGCCCCAAGACGGCCCAAGAGGCACCCAAGACGGCCCGAGAGGGCCCTAAGACCCCCCCGGGAGGCCCAAAAAGAAGGCCGAAGAGGCTCCGAAACGGCCCCCACGAAGCCTTCAGTGGCTTCAGAATTCCCTCCAGGAGCGGGGGAGCGGACGAGAGGCGACAGGCATATCGCAGGCAAAAACGCCCCAAGAGATCCCCAAACGGCCCCCACGAAGCCCTACGTGGCCTCAGAATTGCTTCCAGGAGGGGGGGAGCGGACGAGAGGCGACCGGCATATCGAGGCACAAAAGAACAATGTTGGACGCTCCGAGGGCCTTCGATGCTTCTCTGTTGGGGAGAGTCGTCGTAGGATCGACGATTGCCGACCGAGGGCATGGAGAATCCAGCGAAAGAGGAGAAGAAGGTGGAAGAGGAGGAGGAGGAGGAGGAGGCGGAGGAGGAGGAGGAGGAGGGGGAGGAAGCAGCAGGACCTCCGAGCAGCAGCAGCAGCTGAGGAACGCAGGAGAGCAGGAGGTCCTGGAGGGTGTGGAGAGCGCCTTCAACTGGCCACGTCGAGCTGATGTCGTGGACGGAGTCCACAGGTCTGCCCTAGTCAGCTACAACGCTGGGATCAGTGCGTGCAAGAAGGGTGAGCAGTGGCAGCGGGCGCTGGCGTTGCTGAGATATATGTGGGAAGTAAAGCTGGAGCCCAACGTCATCTTCTCTACAATGCAGGGACCCGCGCGTGCGGGAAGGGTCCCTGTCTTGATCGCCTCAAAATACCCCACAACGGCTCCGGGGACGCTCCCGAGGCGCTCACGCGGCCTGAGAGGCGCCCAGGACGGCCCCAGACACCCCCAAAACGGCCCAAGAGCGCTCCAAGAGAGCTCAAGACCGCCGAAAACGGCCCCGACAAGGCCCAGGAGGCCTCCACGACGGCCCCAGAGACGCCCAAGAGGAGTCCCGGGATGGCCCCCACAGGCCCAAATCATTGTTTTTCCAAAGAAAAACGCCCAATGTTAGCATACACTGCTTGTCGGGAATATGGCGCACAGGATGGGACAAGAGGTCCCCACGACCGCCCCAAGACGGCCCAAGAGGCCCCCCAGAGGCACGAAAACCGGCCCGAGAGAGCGTCAAGAGAGCCAAGATGCGCCCAACACGGCCCCCAGGCGGGCCCAAGAGGCTCCGAGGAGGCGCCCAGGACGGCCCCACACACCCCCAAGACGGCCCAAGAGCGCTCCAAGAGAGCCCAAGACCGCCGAAAACAAACTCAAGACGGCCCAGGAGGCCTCCACGACGGCCCCAGAGACGCCCAAGAGGCGTCCAAGGATGGCCCCCAGAGGCGAAAATCATTATTTTTCCCGAAGAACAGCGCTCTCTTTTCGCATGCGCTGCTTGTCGGAAATATGGCGCAGAAGCTGGGACAAGAGGTCCCCACGACCGCCCCAAGACGGCCCAAGAGGCCCCCAAGACGCACGAAAACCGGCCCATGGCGTCAAGAGAGCCCAAGAGGCGCCCACAACGGCCCCAGGGCGACACCAAGAGGCTCCCAGGATGGCCCAAGGTATCCCCAAGACGCTCCAAGAGCGCTCCACGACAAGCCAAGACTGCCTTCTGCGGCGCCAAGACGGCCCAAGACGCCTCTACGACGGCCCAAGAGACGCCGAAGAGGCTTCCCAGGAGGGCCTCAGAAGCCACGCTTACCCGACGAACTTACGGTGCGAAAGTGACCCAAAAGCCGATACTAGGAGCCACAGAGATGTCCCGAGCATGCCCCGAAGAAGGCTCCAAGAGTGTCCAGGCACCCCGAGAAGGCTCCTAACGCGCAGCCCGAGTAAACCAAAGTGACAGTTACTTGAAAGTTTCTCCAGAGTCCTCTCTGTGATCCTCCCGTGCACAGGGCGCCTGAGCGGCCCCAGTGCGGGCCGTCTCGGCGCCCTCTTGCGGGCCTCTTGGGTCGTATATCACGCGACCCCAGCTAAGAGCAGATAAAATTATCCCAGTGCGACCCTACCTAGGAGTTGGAGCATCTAGGAAAGCAACATCTACATCTACACTGACAGCTACATTAGCATCTACACCTGCATCTACATCTACATCAACATCAACAGCGAGACTCACATCTACATCTACATCTACACCTACACCTACACCTACATCTACATCTACATCTACATCTACATCTACATCTACATCTAAACATACAGCTACATCTACATATACATATACACGTTCGCATTGGTTGTGTGTTTGCTTTGCCTTGCCTTTGCGTTTGCTTTTGCTGTTGCTGATGCTTTTGCTTTTATTTTAGTGTTGCTGCTGCTTGAGTTTGTTGTTGCTTTGCCTGCGCGCAGACACACACGCGCATGTTTTCGCATTCGCTCACAAGGTGTGCTTGATAATGCTCCGTATCCGGTCTACTACCGCACGACTTGGCCATCTGGGTCAGCGATGATGCTGATCACGTACGTACGTATGTATGCATGCATGTATGTATGTATGCATGTATTGGTGTATATATGTATAGGTGTATAGGTGTATGTATGTATGCATGCGTGTGTGTATGTATGTATGCACGTATGTATGGATGCATGTATATGTGTATGTATGTATGCATGTAGGTATGTATGCTATGCCATGCCATGCTGTGCTGTGCTGTGCTGTGCTGTGCTGTGCTGCGCTATGCTGTGCTGTGCTATGCTATGCTATGCTATGATATGCTTCGCTATGCTATGCTATGCTGGGCTATGCTATGATATGCTGTGCTGCGCTATGCTATTCTACGCTATGCTATGCTATGCTGTGCTCTGCGATGCTAAAGCTCAGCGAAGCTAAGAGGAAGGTCAGCTAAGCTAATCTAAACCTGAGCTAAGATGAAGTTAAGCTAAGATAATATGAAATAAGCTAAGCTAAGATGAGATAAGCCACGCTAAGTTAAGGGAGCGTCACTGGGGGAACCGCGAGGCGGATCCTGGGGGAACCGCCCGGGGCGGGTTCCACTGCCCGGCCCTTTAAGCCCACATAGTAAGAACCCTTCTAGACAGAGGCTAGGTAGGGAAGTATCACGGCCACCCGCCCCGCAAAAGCTATGATGAACACAGAGCGCGGCGTCAGAAACAGCTTCTGTCCACACCACGTCATGCCTACATGCGTTCCTGCCTTCAGGCCTGCTTGCCTGCATCCCTCGCCCACGCCTCCCCCTTCGGCGGCCACTTCCTCCATCCACACCGTCCCCTCCAACCTCCCCCGCCGCGAGGCCCCCCCCGGAGAGGCTCCATTTCCACGTCCACACCATGACGGGCAGACTTCGCGGCCGGAAGGCCGCGGGTCAGCCCTAGTCAGCTTCAGCGCTGGGATCAGTGCGTGCGAGAAGGGCGAGCAGTGGCAGCGGGCGCTTGCGCTGCTGAGCGAGATGCGGGAGGTGAGGCTGGAGCCCAACGTCATCTGTACTACACTTCTGGTCGCGGCGCGTGCGAGGAGGGAAATCTGAGGCAGCGCCCCGGGCCGCCCAGAGAGCCCGCGGGCCACCCGGAGAGCTGGGGCGCTCCTCGACGACCTCAAGAGGCACCTGAAGCGCTCGCCGACGGCTCCAGGACCCCCAGATCGCCCCAAGACGGCTTCACGGACGCCCATGAGGGCCGAAGCCGATCCGACCAGAGCCCCATGATGGCACAAAAAGGTCTCAGAGACGGCCCCCGAGGACCGCGTGGACGGCGCCAAGCGGCAAAACTTGTGCGTTTTCCAAGGTTTCAAGGTTTTTCCTGTTCCCGCCATTTCGGGCCCTCAACGGCCCAGGATGGCCCCGGGGGCTTGCCAGATCGCCCTTGCACGGTCCAAGAGGGCCCGAGGAGGGCCCCCAGACGGCCCAAGAAGGCCCGTACACGGCCCCAGAGGGCCCCAAGACGGCCCAAGAGAGCTTGAAGTGACCCCCAAGTCAGCCCTAACCAGGCCCCAGATCCCGCCCGAGCGGGCCCAAAGCGACCTCCTTTTTCTGGCCCTGTATTGAAATTTGCACTGGAAAGCGGATCCTGGTGTATACGGGACCCTTGTGTATGCATGTTTCGTTGCTTCCCCGGGACCTCGGGGAAAAAAGTAGACACCACACCACTTTGTAACCAATTTCCCCTACGCGCCGCATGGGGTATGGCTTGTACTTTACACCGCCCCTCAAAAAGTCCTGGGATTGAAAAACAGCCCGCCACTGGTAATGTAGATGTTCCAGTTTCCGACGATGAGCGTCCGTCGGCACGTGCATCCCCCCCATATACAATCCCACGATATACGGCAGTGTAGTGCGCAAGACACGCGACAAGCCTGGGGAACTGCTGCGCCCGCGGCCCGCAGCTCCCAGAGCCACCTTAGAGTCTAAGGAGACAGGTACCCGGGAGTCGGGCATCTTGGTGCAACAATATTTGCACAAACTCTTAAAGACGGTGGTCTCGAGGACGTTGATACACACGCGAAGCTGTCATTTGTACCTCCCTGCGCGGCCCCCGACCGAGGCCCGCAACCGTGCCCCCTTCACTCTGATTGTGCCCGAAACCCTAGTGTTTTTGCTAATCGCGCCTTGGCCTGGCGCGATTCGCAAAAACCCATTTCTTTCCACGCTTCCAGGGAGCCTGTTTTTTTAGATTCAGGCAAGTTTACTTGCATGGCAGTTTGCCGCCCCCCCTTCCCCCCCCGCATCTGATTCACACAGTGCTGGGCCGAAAAAACGTGCAAGTGCTTTTCGACTTGCGTGATTTCCGCGCCCCCCCCCCCGCGTGCAAGTGCAAGGCGCCATTGGGACATGAATTTGGTTCAAGTTGGGTCTTCTGTCAAGTGCAGCTGTCTGCTTAATGGATCGCCATCGTAGCCCCAACGGCATGGACTTGGCATATATTGTGGGTCCCAATTTTGCACTCTGAATGGTTCCGGTGCTCAGGCGTTCCTGCTGATTTGTATTACTTTGTGGTGTTCGCCTTCCCCCTCAACCTCCACGCTAAGGTATTTCCATCGCTTCTGACGGTGCTCACATGGGGTACGTTCATGTGTACATATACGTTTACACATGTGTGAATATCTTTTTGTGAACGTGTAGGCATGGGGTGTTCACTGCTTCTGTTTCTAGAAAAGTCGGCGTGCAAATTTGTGTGTATGCGCTTGTGTACGTATATTTGTATGCGCGTGCGCGTGTGTGTGCATGCAAATTCGCATCAGTATGATCACACGAACGAGGTCGTGTTATCACTGAGTGATTTTGCGTGCAACCGTGCATGTGATATGTACGCAGGTGCGCAACCGTACAGGTATCGTCAATTCCCCCCACACAACGCCCTTGCACTTGCGGGGCGCGGAGCCCCCCCCCCCAACGTGCAAGTCGCTTGTGGCTTGCTTCGGGTTCGGCCCCCCTCACCCCCCGCACATGCAAGCAATCTTGCCGGAGTCTAAAAAAACAGGCTCAGGTCCGTGCCCCCGCAGCTCCCCGACTGCTTTCCGGGGTGGCCCCCAGACGTGGCCCCTTACACGTCGGCCCCCCGCACGTGGCCCCCAGACGGAACCCCCAAAGGCGGCCCCCACACAAAGCCTCCGAAGTTCGCCCCTACCGCCCCAGTAAGCGTGGCCCCCGAACGTCATCCCCTTGCGTAGCCCCCAGGCGCCCCCAGACGTGGCCCCCACACACAGCCCCCAACCGTTGCCTTCAAACGTGGCCGTCACATGTGTCTCCGAAGGTCGCCCCTGCCGCCCCAGGGACGCCCGAGCTGTTCAACTTCGACGAGCTGGTCACCTACGGAGTGCGAACCCCCAGGCTCAGCACGCCGTGGATTCAATCCACGGGTTCACACTAGTCTCTCCTACAGCGCTGGGATCAGTGCGTGCGAGAAGGGCGAGCAGTGGCAGCGGGCGCTTGCGCTGCTGAGCGAGATGCGGGAGGCGAGGCTGGAGCCCAACGTCATCTGTACTACACTTCTGGTCGCGGCGCGTGCGAGGAGGGAAATCTGAGGCAGCGCCCCGGGCCGCCCAGAGAGCCCGCGGGCCACCCGGAGAGCTGGGGCGCTCCTCGACGACCTCAAGAGGCACCTGAAGCGCTCGCCGACGGCTCCAGGACCCCCAGATCGCCCCAAGACGGCTTCACAGACGCCCACGAGGGCCGAAGCCGATCCGACCGGAGCCCCATGATGGCACAAAAAGGCCTCAGAGACGGCCCCCGAGGACCGCGTGGACGGCGCCAAGCGGCAAAACTTGTGCGTTTTCCAAGGTTTCAAGGTTTTTCCTGTTCCCGCCATTTCGGGCCCTCAACGGCCCAGGATGGCCCCGGGGGCTTGCCACCCGGCCCAAGAGAGCTTCAAGTGACCCCCAAGTCAGCCCCAACCAAACCCCAGACCCCACCCGACCAGGCCCAAATCGACTTCCGAAACGGCTCGAGACCCTCAAGATGGCCCCAAGACGCCCCAAGAAGGACCCAAGATGCCGCCCAAGAGGGCCCAAAGCGACCTCCGAGACGGCCCGAGACCCCCAAGATGGCCCCAAGACCTCCCTGCGCGGCCCCCATCCGAGGCCCGCAGACGTGCCCCCCTCATTCTGACTGTGCCTCAAACCCTTGTGTTCTTGCTAATCGCGCCTAGGCCTGGCGCGATTCGCAAAAACCCATTTCTTTTCACGCTTCCAGGTCAGTGCCCCCGGAGCTCCCCGACTGCTTTCCGGGGTGGCCCTCAGACGTGGCCCCTTAAACGTCGGCCCCACACGTGGCCCCCAAACGGAACCCCCAAAGGCGGCCCCCACACAAAGCCTCCGAAGTTCGCCCCTACCGCCCCAGTAAGCGTGGCCCCCGAACGTCATCCCCTTGCGTAGCCCCCAGGCGCCCCCAGACGTGGCCCCCACACACAGCCCCCAACCATTGCCCTCAAACGTGGCCGTCACATGTGTCTCCGAAGGTCGCCCCTGCCGCCCCAGGGACGCCCGAGCTGTTCAACTTCGACGAGCTGGTCACCTACGGTGTGCGAACCCCCAGGGTCAGCACGCCGTGGATTTAATCCACGGGTTCACACTGGTCAGCTACAACGCTGGGATCAGTGCGTGCGAGAAGGGCGAGCAGTGGCAGCGGGCCCTGGCGCTGCTGAGCGAGATGCGGGAGGCGAGGCTGGAGCCCAACGTCATCTCTCCTACATGGCCAGTGGATCTGCGTGCGAGAAGGGTTCACAGGGCCTCGTGTGCACAAAATCGCCCCTTTACGGCGCCACCACGGGGCCGAATCGCTCAGGCCAGTCCCAGAGGCGCTCCAGAGGGGTCCCAGACCGTCCAAGAGCGCTCCAAGACGGCCTCAGTGGGTCCCGAGACGGCCCACGAGGGCCCGAAGCCTTCCGGGGGGGGCTCCACGATGATCCAAGAGGCCGCAAAGACGCCCCAAGAGGGCCCCGAGCGCACGCCAAAGAGGCACAAATCGTCAAATTCCTATGGGGAAACGTATATTTTCAGCATGCCCGCCTTGTGTGCTCCTCAGCCGCCCAGGACACGCCAAGAGGCCTCCCAAATCGCCCCAAGAAGACGCCAGCGGCCCCTAAGAGGGCTCCAGGACGGCCCACAAGAGCCCCAAGACGACGCCAGGGAGCCCTGAAACGGCCTCACAGAACCCCAAGACTGCCCCAAGAGAGCTCCGAGGGGCCCCCAAGAGGCTCCCAAGACGGCCTCAGGCAGCCTCAAGAGAGCTCCAAGACGGTCCAAAGTCCTCCCGGACCCCCGTGACGGCCCAAAAAGGCCCCAATACGTTCCAAAACGCTCTCAGAGCAGCCCAAAAAGCGTCAGAATGGCCCGAAAAAGACCCCCACAAGGACCGCCAAGCAGGCCCAGAGACGCCCACTAAAAGAGCGATCGGTGAAGTACAAAGCTCTTCTCACCAAGGCTTCCAAGAGCGAGCCGCAGCGTAGAGAGCTCTCCCAGGCACAGCTCCCAAGAGCGACCTCTCACACAGGAGCGCGCACGCACAGCACGCAAGCCCGGAAGAGGCTCGGGGGGACAGCCCGGGAACGGCCCCACATGCGTCCAAAAAGACTTCAATAGAAAAGGCCCTTAGGAGGCCGCAAGACGGCCCAAGAGGGCCCCAAGAGGCCCCTAGGGGACCGCAAGACAGCCAACGAGGCCCGAACAGGCCCCCAGGAGTTCGAAAACAAACTCTTAGAGGCCCACTACCCGTTCCCACGGAGACGGCAGCGCCCGTCATCAGGCTTCGAAGAGGCAACCGGAAAAAAGTCACCAGAGCCCTCCAGGTGACTTTTTTCAAGGCTCCAGGTGCTTCCAAAATTGACAAGCGGCGAGACGTACACCGCAGACCCACCATAGCCGTCTGTGACGCTCCGAAGGCTGTCTAGGCGGAGGTATAGCGGAAGGCGGACGAA